CTGGATGAGGGCGTAGAAGGATGGGTTAGTAAATTTGCGGATGACACTAAAGTCGGTGGAGCTGTGGATACCTCAGCTGGTGTGGCACCTTCGCCAAACTGATGCTCTCACTGACGCTGAAGCTGAATGAATGAGGGAGACATCGCCCTTGTTATCAGGGTGCAGCATGTCTCACTCTCTAGACAACTCGGTGCTGCCCTCACCTACAGGGAATGCCACCAACAACTTCGCTTAGACCAAGGAATCTGTTTTACTCCTTATGATAGAGGCCACTTGCACCGCATGACCTGTGCCCAGATGCTAGTGGGATGTTGGTCACTGTAACTGCCTTCCTAAGTAGGTGAAGGCAGAGACAGGGCCAACAGAAAGTCCATGGACAGCCAGCTCAAGGAAAGGCCACATACACAGGACCCACTGTGATTTGTCCCTGACTCCATTTCCTGGAGATGAGCAAGGTACAGTGTTGACACAGGCTCTGGATGTCCCGGGACAATGTGCTGGATGTTGGAGCGGGATCTGAGGGGCTGCAGGAATGGGAAGCCATCCTCTCCCAGTGGCTGGGAAGGTGACGGCTGCTTTGAACCTCTATATGACTTATTCCTTCCAGGGAGTGACAGGTAACCTGTGTGGGTTCTCCCCACATTACATCCACAAACAAATCAGGACCGACTCCATCTGTGCAAGGTGGTACCGGTTCAGTTTGTTTCCCGATGATAAGGTTAATTAATGCTGCTGCCTGGGCATTAGGATTAAGGAACACCCAGGTACAGGGTGCCATCGACTGCACACGTGGCACTGAGAGGGCTGTATCACAATGCTACAGAATTCATCAACTGGAAGAGGTTCCATGTTCAGGTGATCTGGGATCACCATTACCAATTCCTGGAGGTGTGTGCTCACTACCCTGGCAGCTGCCACTATTTCTACATCCTCTAGCACTCTCAGGTACCTGATGTGTTTGAGGGTCTTGGTGCCTGACAAGGATGGCTACTAGGGACATGCCCATGCCTCATGACACCATTGTGCATCCCCCTGGCTGATGCACGCATAGATATGATGCTGCCAAGCTTTGGTGTGTTGGAGCAGATGATGGGCTCACTGAAGATATGGTTCTGCTGCTTAGACTGGTGTGGAGTGGGAGGGTTGTCCTCCAGTTTAGTTTGGGCAGTGTGTTGCATCATTCTGATACATAGTGCTGTGCACAATTGGAACAGGCAGTGAGACAGTGTGTTGGATACTGACGAGCTGGGGACTGAGACCAGACTCCCAAGGATGATAAGGACATTGGGGCAGAGAAAGGTCTCTGTGTGCAATACAGAGTCAGCTGTGTCAGGTGCTATGAGCCAGACAGGATCTGTTTGTCATCTGGTTTGAATAGCTGGGAGCTGGGTTCAGCAGACCATCATGGACTATAGATCAATTGTTGGTCATGACGCCAGCAATGTTTGCATTGTGGAGCCCACTTTAGTGTCTATTGATTTTGTTTGTGTTCCCTTTCGCTATCTCTCAATAAAGGCTTATGATTGGAATTAACATAGAATATTTAACTGTACAGCACAGGAACAGAACCTTCAGCCCAACATGTCTGTGCTGACCATGATGCCATTCTAAACTAATCCCATCTGCCTTGCACATAGCCTGGATCCCTCTATTCCCGACCTGTTCATGAGTCAGTCTAAATTGTCTGATTGCTTGCCTGTACGTGATGTTCCCCTACTGGACAGTGACAAGCTGAGAGTCAACAGTGGGCAGTAGGGATAGGGTAGCACTGACTCAGAGGCTGTAGACACAAGATGTGGATAAGGAGTTAAGCTGTATGGCCTGGTAATTGACCAGCAACAATGGTGAGAGAATGGGGTTGCACATGAGAGGAGGTTTCAGCTCTGCTGGCTTTGAGCCATGAGCAGTGCAATTTGATGGATACTGTGCCATTACATTGCCAACATTTGTCCGGGTGCACAGTGAGGTATGGGGCACCTGCACTACCAGACTTTCTGTGGAAATCTGCCGAGTGGCTAATTGTTGTGAGAACAGTGGATGGTAGAATGGGGTTAGAATTGAGTGAGAGGCACAGCAGATACACTGTATGTACTTAATGAAACATTTGGTAAGGTACGGTGCAAATTCTCACTTGGTCTTGCTGAGAGAAACCGCCTGTGAAACCTTAAGAAACTGACGGACAAAAAAAAATCAATGTTCAGCCCACAGTCTACTTTTCAATTCAAACTTTAAAAACTGCAATGCACTGTGTGTTGCTTTCAATCAAATCTCCACTCATCTTCCTTTCAGTGTGTCTGCAATACAGAAAGAGCATTATCTCATGTACAAAGTTCATGAAATCATACCAAGGAATTCTGATACAATCAGCATGAAACAGTTTGTCTGTCATTGCTCTCTTCGCTCCTATATGTCTCCTAGAGATGTTAATGATTCAAAGAAATGCAGAATGACATCTTTGAAATAGAAATTAGACAGATTTGAACTTGTATGATGGTGTCCCATACTGTAACATCAAGTCCATAATATTATTGTAGTGCTCAGGTTTATTTAATTCTGTTCATTCAAACCCATCTTTAAGGTCACCAGGTCTAATTACTGTGGACACACAATAGCCTAGGGCCAATTGGAAATTATTTGCCATTGACAAGGGAGGTTTGTAGATGACCAGCAGCTTCCAGAAGAAACCAATTCTCTCTCTTTTTATCATTCCCTTGATGCTTGCAAGTGTACTGTCTGAAATATGATGATCGCAAAATTTGTTACAGATGCAATTACTTTTAAGTGCAACTTCTTGTAAATTAGTTCAGTGGGAAATAAAGATAAATCCGAATGCACAGCGACAGAGAATGAATCAGGAAGTGGGAGGGAAGAGTTCTAACAGTCTCTAAACTCATAACTGAAATCACAGCAAACTGCAACCTGAAAGCTTCAAAGCACCTTGGGGGACCTTTGTGGTGCAGTAGTAGTGTCCCTCCATCTGGACTAGAAGGCTTGGGTTCAAGGCCCACCTGCTCTAAAGTTATGCCATAGCATATCTGTACACCCATTCAAAATATAAGCACATCTTTGGTGCCCAGTGAGCTGGGGTCCTGAGTGGCAATGACAGTATTATCAACAACATATGAAGCAGGCATCTTATGGAACAGCAATTGTTGTGAGGCAACTGTTAATCACACAAGCTCACATACATGGAGCATGTTTGTATAACGTGTCTGAATAGAAACATAACAGTATGAGCTGTGCTCATGTGTACCAATTGAAAGATTCACATTAAACAGAGCCACAGAATTATATTTCTCCACTTTCTCTCTGTAACGCTGCACATCCTTCCTTTCCAAATCCCAGCCCCATGCCCTTTTGAATGCCTCGATTGTTGCGGTCTCCATCATGCTCTCAGGCAGTGCATCCCAGACCTTAACCACACACTGTGTGAAAAAAAACTGTTTTTCTTGTATCACTTCTTCCTTTTCCAATTATTTTAAATCTGTGCTCTCTAGTTCTTGATTCTTTTAGAGTGGAAACAGTTTTTTCCCCATCCAGTCTGTCAGAAACTCCCTCATGATTTTGACTGGGCAGGGAACTCCCTCAAAATTACTGTTAACTTTTCACAATCATTGATCTCTAGTGTGCTGTAATAGGGGTAAACCTTTTTGAACCCAAGCTGATCTCCTGATGTAATCAACATACTTTATTTCTTTAACTGTTTGACTTGCATCATCCATTAACCTCAATATTTCAACCTGTTGATTTCAACACAGGAAATAACTGACAGTAAACTAGACTGTGAAATTCCAATTTTGAATGATAAATGCCTGGATTTTTCATGATTAGCAACCTGGGAGCAAAATGTGATTTACAGATATTTTCTATTTCACAACTACTTATTTTGAAGAAAAACTAAGAGAACTGCAGGTGCTAGAAATCAGAAACAAAATCAGAAATTGCTGGAAAAGCTCAGCAAGTCTGGCAGCATCTGAGGAAGGGTCCAATTCTGAGGAAGAGTCAATGAACCTGAGACGTTAACTTTGATTTCTCTCCTCTGATGCTGCCAGACTTGCTGAGCTTTTCCAGAAATTTCTGTTTTTGTACTTATTTCCATGGTTTGATTAAAGAAATACAGGATCACTGTGGTCCATTTGAATACACCCAGATATTGTAACGTACTACATACTGGGTTTATATTTCACATGAATCAATAATCCAAAACATTCTCTTGTATCTTACTAAAATTATTTTTATTATCCACTACAGAATGATGAACCATCTTAGTGTGCTGCGGCCTCATGAGCAGGTAGATGGAATGGACTATTTCTGTGCTGTAGCCTCTGACTTCAGGGAGAAAGGCAGATGACTTTAAATTGTATCTAGTATTTCTGCTGCCAACAATCATTAGCAGAATTTATAAGGATTCACAAACAACTAAAGCAGGAAAATGCATGCAGCAGGCATTATAAATTTAAATTCGGCATAACGGATATTTTCAGACCCCATTGGCCAATTACTTGGTTGTATGAGAAAGACAGCTTTGCCAACTAAAACGTTAAATCACGGAAAACCTTTTTCTTTTCATGAGATTAATTTTCCTATCCTTTTGTGAGTAAAGGGGTTGATAGCTGTTCAATTCCACAGGTGAGGGTGAGATTCCAGTAGGAGTGTTCAGGGTGATGCCCACAGTGTTATCCAGTTTGATTATAGCATAGGAACACTGCATGCCTTCACTTAGAAAGTGGGCAATATCTCTCAATTTCTTCATGTAATGGTGGTATAAGCGTGTCGCTTTGTGATTTCGTGGGCCATGCAGATGTGTACAATGGAGTTTGGGACTTTGACAGAAGGTTCAAATCCATGTTGCTGTTAATTTATACATGTCCTGAGTTGCTGAAACTAACAGATTATGAATACTTTAGCGTTACTGATCAAACCTCGAAATAATTCAAACAGGTCGAATTAGCAAACAGGAAAAATTAGCAGGTGTGGGATTGAGTTGTTTGGACACTGATGGCCTGATTGCAAGACATTTGAAACATGTACTAGCTCACAGGGAAATTCATACCAGTTGATTGACAGGTGAAGTGACTGGAGATGCTTTTAAATTGACTACTTAGTTTTAGCACAGCGGGCAGAATCTGCACAGGAGGTGGGAGACTTGGCCACCAACTAAAGAGCCATAGAGAGCTCCTCTGACCCCACAAGCTTCGCTTCGGGAAGAACCCCTGCATCTTGTGCCACTCAGGCTCTCACCAGGCGAGCCACGCCTGTGGCCAAGGAACCCAGGGGAAGAGGCACCGCCCACTGACAGCTGCTAGTCGATGAGAAACCAGCAGCTCTTCTGCGCTCAGCAGCACCACCAGAGAACTGGTGGCTGCTTCTGGTACTGCACCAAGGCCTTGGATAGAGCAGGGACCCCAGCACAGGTGAGTGTTGGTTTTGAGTGTGAGCTTGATTTATTGTTGTCACATGTACTGGGGTACAGCGAAAAGTGTCACTTTGCATGCTGTATAGGCAGATCGTACCATACAAAGTGCATCACGGTAACACAACAGAATGCAGAATACAGTGTCGCAGAGAAGGTGCAGAGAGAGAGATCAACATTAACATTTGAGAGGTCCATTCAACAGTCTGATAACAGCAGGAAAGAAGCTGTTCCTGAATCTGTTTGCACGTGTGCTCAAACTTTTATATCTTCTACCCGTTAGAAGAGGATGGAAGACAGTATAACCGGAGTGGGAGGGTCTTTAATTATTTTGGTTGCTTCCCTGAGACAGTGGGAAGTATGTTGGAGTCGGTGGATGGAAGGCTGGCTTGTTTGATGGACTAGGCTGTGTTCATGACTCTCTATAGTCGCTCGTGGTCTTGGGAAGAATAGCTGCCATAGCACGCTGTGATGCACCCAGATACAATGCATCTCTGGTGAACGGGGCCAGTAGTAGGGTGGTGGGGGGAGAGGGGGGAGAGGAGCTGAGCACCAAGGGTGGGGGGTGGCATTCAGCACCCCCACTCCACCAACCCCCCCCAACCCTGATGCTCAGTTCAAAGATCGCCCACAAGCACACATTCTGGGATTTACTTATTGTGCTCCCCACATAGCGAGCTGGTTTAGTCCCTGCTGCAAGAGGGTCAGGCCTTTCGTAATTGAGCAACATTTGTGAAGAGCTCTTGAATCAGTTTAAAACAACGGATAGACAGCGATAGACAAACTGAAACAAAAGGCTTTAAGATAAAACTCCTCAAAGTTCCATGGCATCACCGTTGCAACAATGTTTCACATCCTCCTTCATTGTGATTTTCACCTTAGGGGTGGTGCACTCTGTATCCTCTTTGGTAAATCCAACTTTAGCTGTAACCAGCTGTCATAGTCAGCTGCAGGCATCTGAACAACCTTGTCCCGCATGAACTGTGAATTAAATAACACAAACATAATAGATGATTTCAGTGCAATTTGGGAACGAATCCTTCTGCACAGTATAGTTACAGAAGGTGGTCTTGATTTCTCTGACAGTTTGTTTGCTTGTTTGCACACAATACCTCTGGGTGCTGGTTTAAACCAGTGGATAAGCAGTTTAAATAAAAGCAGCTAATGGTATTTAAATAATGCACAAAAGGCATTTGACATGAGTATCTAAATATTCCAGTAGAAAATTAAACCCCTTGGTATTCATGGAGCACCCATCATAACTTTAGTGTGGGATGTAAATTTCAGAAAATCCTTTCCAATTCCCTTTACTTCATCAATGCTTGTACTTTATAGCAGGAAATCAAATGAGAATAAAGGTCTTTGTCCATGGTTTGTGGATGCATGCTGTACTGGGTGTGGTACTGACTGTGCACATTGTTTGGTCTGTGCTGTTGGCTGAGGCCAGTCAGAATCACAGTGAGGATGCTTCATCTAATCTGAATATTCCCTTGTGTTTTGGTTTTCTATCCAGTGACTCCAAGTGGGAAACGTGCTTGTCAGACGAGAGTAGAATTGGAGCTGGCTGTGATGCTCTCTTAGACAAACAGTTCACTCAACTCTCACTGCCTGAATGTATCTGCCACAAACTATGATCAACTGAGGCAAAACAGGGGAGAAAATTGTATAAATTAGAAAAAAGAAAGTGGAGACGTTATGTTATTAGGCACAAGATGAATTCGAGAGGTGAAAGTGATAGCCTGTGGCAGCTTCAAAATAAACATGACACCAGGGATTCCAAGGAAAACATAATTCACTGGAGTTCAGGAGAAACACACCAATGACTGGAATCACACCCAGACATGGGAAAGTGGGCGTGGTTATTAAGCACCAGTAGTTCTTCAGGGTAGCATCCTACACCTGGTGATCTTCAGCTGTTTCATCAATGGCTTTCTCTCTATCATAAGGTGAGAATGAAAACTGTTCACAAATAACTGCATAGCACCCAACTCCATTTACAATTCCTCATACAATACATATGTCCCTACCTGCATATAAGCAAGACCTGGGATTTGGCTGATAAGTAAGATTAACATTGGCAACATACCAAGGGCAGGCAATGACCCTCTCTTGCGTGAGAAAGAAAAGCACTACTCTCTTCATGACAGTCAATCCATTACCTTAGCCAAGTCTGCCAACATTAACATCTTTCACGTTAGTACTCATCAAAACCTTGCCATTGTATTGCAACATTTAGCATCAGTGCATTGTCGCAAAACAGGTGCAATCTGAAATCAGTACTAGAGCAACTGCTTGAGCTTGCTTCAATTATACCTCCTACTTTATGCGATCAAAGAATGTTACAGTACAAAAGGATGCTATTCAACCCATCTTATCTATAACAGTTCCTGAAAGAGCTAGCCAGCTAGTCCCTTTCTCCAGCCCTATCTCTGTAACCCTCTAAATTCATCACTTTCAATATATATCCAGTCCTCCTTTGAAATCTCCTACGGAATCCGCCTCCAACGCTCTCAGGCAGAACATTCCAAATCTTAATAACTCTCTGAGTAAAGAAGTTTTTCTTCGTCTCACTCCTAGCTTTCTTGTTGACAATCTTGATATTGTGACACCTCAATACTGACGTAGCAATTAGGGGAAACAGAACATCCTTCTTTACCCTGTTAAAATTGTTCATAATTTTGAACACCTCAATAAAGTCTCCTCTTAATCTTCTATGCTCCAATGAGAATAAGCCCAGTCTCTTGAATCTTTCCTTACGTCTAAAATCCCTTATCTTGCTTTCATTCTAGTAAAAACCCTCTGAACTCTCTCCAGGGCTTTAACATCCTTCCTTGAATAAGGTGCTCAGAACTGAACACAATACTCCAAATGTGGTCTGACCAATGATTTGTAGAGGTGTAGCATCACTTCTTTGCTTTCATACTCTTATAGTTCTCTGACATTTATCAAACAAAAAGACAAGCAGCAAGATTATAGGAAATACATTCAAGGTCGAAGTTGGAAATAGATCGGGCTTAGGCACACTGACAGCAACAAGCCAAAGAGATTCCCAGCTACATGTGCCAGGTGAACAAAAAAATGTATCTTGTCATTGTTGCCCTCCTGTTTTCACAGGAACAAATATAAAGATGTATTCCAAAGACTCTCTCAGCAAAACCTCCCTTTCTCAAAGGTAAAATAATCCCATGACGAATGACTCAATGCCATTTACACTAAATATTTTTCTGACCAAAATGAAATTTGCCTGCTACTCTCTCCATTAATCATGCAGATTGGTTCTCACCTCAATAGCTGCACTGATGTCTGGAGAACAGAGCTCCCAGTTGCGCAGTCCACTGAGCACCTTGAGGAACTGATGTGGCCGAACTCTGAAACTCTGCTGTTCTCCAAACTTTCTCAACTTTTTCAGTATTCGATCGATCTTTTGGTTTGCTTTAACAGTCTCGGGAATTTGACATAATAGGCTGGAATACCTGAAAAAAAATGGGAGACACTGGTTGCTGCGGTTTGCCGGTAGCAATACTGAATTCCCTTGGTCAAGGCAGCTGATCACTGTAATTGTTCCCCACTATTGACAGTCCTAACTTTTGATAGGGATGTTTGACAACTGTCTTCCGCATCTTTTAATGGCCATTCTGCATGAGGCTGATGATAAGTAATGACAAAATCTTCAACCGAAATCAGCCATCACATTTGCTTTATAACACACTCACAATGACCATGCATCACTGTCAGCACCAGACCTCTGATGGACCTTTCTTCATGAAAGGCTAGTCTGTAATCCAGGGTCTTTGACTGGAAACCCACTGTAGTGTCAGCGATAACTATTAAATAGAAGTTTATCCTTCGCTCATTCCAAGAAGTGCCGAGGTCAATTGTATCCCTTCAACAGCAACCTTAGCACAGATTGGAGATCATATCCAAAATCTCTACGATCTGCATGGTTAACTTCGTCATTAGACAGGACACATAACAAGTATTCCACTGGAGCAGCTAGTGATCAATCCACTCAAATAAAAGCTCATTTACCTTAAATCTTGACCCAGCTCTGATGAAGAGTCATCTAGACTTGAAACGTTAGCTTGCTCTTTCTCCATGGATGCTGCCTGACCCGCTATGGTTTTCAGCATTTTTTGTTTTCAGTACAGATTCCAGCATCTGCAGTAATTTGCTCCCACTTGAGTCTTTTTGGATTCTTATTTTCCCGCTTTCCCATTTCTCACAATTTTTTTTTTTTCAACTGTTTAACCGCTTGAGAAAGAAAGAAATTAACTTATTCGACATTTGATACTTACCAGGTCTCTGTATTCCTTTGTACGTTATCTCCTTTAGATTCCTGAAGTGACCTCTGCATAGCCTCATTGAGTGTATAAAAGCTGACTATATTGTCGAGGGCACGGAATTTGCACTTGCTGGTCTCCCAGCGTTTCCTAAAATTTCCAACAGAATATTTAGTCAGTAACGAGGTAAACATTGTCACTCCATCTACTACACTACTCACTGGAAGCAGGACAAACAACCTCTTTCCATGGGAGTCAGATAGGAGCAGGCAAGGGGTGTTGGGCGTTACATCTTTCCTCCACCTTTGGATTTGCCTAGCCTTCACACAGCACATGCCACTACCACAATTTGGGGATTGAGCGCAGTATTATGCATTTTGATCCAGATTATGCTCTCTGGGAGCCACTGGAAGCTGCTTCTGTCTTTCAGTTAAAAACCAGCTGGAGCAAAGTTTGAATGGGGCAAGAAGTGAACCATCTCTGTCTCACACAAGACCTTCACAGATAATTGAACAGGGTTAGAAACAGGATTGGGCCAACCAGTCCCTCAAGCCTGCTTCACTATTCGGTTAAAGTTTTCATTACAAAACAAACTATCAGGTGGGAAAAAGCATCATATAGTGAAGGTTAAAGTTATATTTTAGAAACTTCCGAGCAGCTCATACAAAACTCAAACTGTTGCTGTAAAATTAGCCAGAGGGAAATTCAAAGCAGAGGTATGCCCTATAGCACTACTACTCTGCATTTTATTTATTACTGGTCATTATTTTTTCATTTAGTCTGTTTTCTTCATTCAAGACAAAACTAACATAAAAAAATCTAGCTCAACATTGTACGAACTATAGATAAGAAAGTGTACACGCACTTCTCCAAGGCTTCCAGGTTGTCATGGAGACACAAAGCTGCTTCCTCATTTACCTCAATGAACTTTGACTGCATTTCCAGAGGGAGAGAGGATTTGCTGGCAACAAACAGACTGGTTTCTGAAACAAGGCCTAAAGGTGGGCTGACAGAAACAAACAAGAGATTATAAACCTGGTTAAATTCAGTCTGGGTACAGAGAACTTAATTGTAAGACATTCACAGTCAGCCCCACCCAACAGTAAAACACACTCATGTCACATACAACTCATAATGCAGTGTTAAAACATAGCAAACGTTTCGCAGTAATACTCCTGCCACCTGACTAAATTATCTAGCTGGAGAATCAAGCTTCTCAGCTAGCCTACAAGGTATCAGGTTGACATAAAAGTTTTCTGTACGTGCTATTTTCAATTAGTTATTGATCCATCAATTGAATGCACCATATAACGTATATAGGAATTTCAGATAGGCTCACTAATCAGCACGCAACAACAGGAATTAAATCTGAGATAGTAGGAACTGCAGATGCTGGAGAATCCGAGACAACAGGGTGCAGAGCTGGATGAACACAGCAGGCCAAGCAGCATCATAGGAGCAGAAAGGCTAACGTTTCGGGCCTAGACCCTTCATCAGAAATGGGGGAGGGGAAGGGGATTCTGAAATAAATAGGGAGAGAGGGGGAGGCGGATAGAAGATGGATAGAGGACCATTTCAACTCCCCCTCCCATTCCTCAGACGACATGTCCATCCATTCCTGCAACCTTCGGGTGGCGTCGTTGTGGCACTGCAGGAGGCCCAGGATGGACATGTCGTCTGCGGAATGGGAGGGGGAGTTGAAATGGTTCGATGCCACCCAAAGGTTACAGGAACAGAAACTCTTATTCCACTTGGTAACCCTGCAGCCCAATGGTATCAATGTGGATTTCACAAACTTCAAAATCTCCCCTCCCCCTACCGCATCCCAAAACCAGCCCAGCTCATCCCCGCCTCCCTAACCTGTTCTTCCTCCCACCTATCCCCTCCTCCCACCTCAAGCCGCACCCCCATCTCCTACCTACTAACCTCATCCCGCCCCCTTGACCTGTCCGTCCTCCCTGGACTGACCTATCCCCTCCCTAACTCCCCACCTACACTCACCTTTACTGGCTCCATCCCCGCCTCTTTGACCTGTCTGTTTCCTCTCCACCTATCCTCTCCTCTATCCATCTTCTATCCGCCTCCCCCTCTCTCCCTATTTATTTCAGAATCCCCTTCCCCTCCCCCATTTCTGACGAAGGGTCTAGGCCCGAAACGTCAGCCTTCCTGCTCCTATGATGCTGCTTGGCCTGCTGTGTTCATCCAGCTCTGCACCTTGTTGTCAGGAATTAAATCTGGCCTTCTGATGGTTTTGCAGAACTCAGATTTGCTCATTCTACAGTCAACCACAAGATGCACTGTAGTAATTCACTAAGTCTCCTTCCATGGCACCTTCCAGACCCGTTACCTCTACCAGGACAAGAAGGCTCAGGGCAGCAGTTATGTGGAATACCATCACCCACAGGTTCCCCTCCAATATTCTGACTAGGAATTATAATGCCATTCCTTCAGTGTCACTGTGTCAAAATCCTGGAACTCCCCAAACCACATGGACTGCAGTGGTTCAAGAAGGCAGCTCACCACCACCTTCTCAGGGGCAGTTAGGGATGGACAATAGAAGTTGGCTCAGCCTGCAACACCAACATCCCAAACATGAATTTAAAAGACAGAACTGACACATTCATCATATTTATGACACTTACTGTTAGGATAGTTCAATGGCATTATTACAAGTACATTCAAATTAGCTCTTTAGTTGTGACACACATACCACTGAAGAAAGTGTAGCAAGAAACATTATGAATACCTGTAAAATATATGATTATTAATGAGACAAACGAAACAATCAAGTAACTGCTTTGGTACAGTTGGCTTGCTGCAATGCAATAACGTTCCATTCAATTCCCCTTTAAACAAATCAAGTTGGAAGGCCACTTTGAATATGTAGTATTTTTCAGACTATGAAATGTAACTTACAGACATACAAGTTAAGAACTGGCTAATAACATGGCTGACCTGAAGGTAACATCCAATCTGCATTCCTGCCAACCCCTGATAACCTTTCACCCCCTTGTTAACAAGAAACTATCTACCTCTGCCTTAAAAACCATTCAAGGACTTTGCCTCCACCACCTTTTCAGGAAGAGAGTTTCAAAGACTGTCAACCGTCAAAGCAAACAGTTTGCCTTATACTCATATCTGTACTAAATGGGCAACCCTTGAATCTTGAACAGAAATGCTTAGATTTTCCCTTAAAAGATAATCTTCTCTCCATCTACTCTGTCATGATCTTATATGTTTCAATCAAATCACCTCTTCGTCTTCTAACCTCTGGTGCACACAAGCGTAACCTGTCCAGCCCTTTATCGTAAGACAACCCCCCCATTCCCAGGGTACCACAGTGGCTCAATAGTGAGCATTGCTGCCTCATTGTACCTGGGACTCAGGTTCGATTCCAACCTCGGGTGATTGTCTGTGAGAAGTTTGCACATTCTCTTCATGTCCATGTGGGTTTCCTCCAGGTGCTCTGGTTTCTACCCACAGTACAAAGACGTGCAGGTTAGGTGGTTTGGCAATGCTAAATTGTCCATAGTGTCTGGGGATGTGCAAGCGAGGTGGATTAGCCATGGGAAATGCAGGGTTACAGGGATGGGGTGGGTTGGTGTGGACACAATGGGCCGAATGGCCTACTCCCACACTGTAGAGATTTTAAGTATTAGTCTGGCAAACTTGCTTCGAACCGTGTCTAACGCGTTCACATTCTTCCTTAAATAAGACAACTGATACGGTACACTACACAGGTTGCATCGTGTCTTACATAACTGAAGAATAACCTCCTTGCCTTTGTATTCAATTCCCCCCACCAGATGATAACATCCTACCAGTCTGCTATTAACTTACTGTAACTGCAAACTACCCTTCTGTGATTCATACATGAGGACACCCACTGCACCTAAAAGATCTACCATCTCACCATTTATTTATAATATGTTTATATTTTGTTCTTCTTACCAAAATGGACAATTTCACATTTTATACTCCATTTACTCCATATACGTATATCTTTTTGTAGCTTCCTTATGTTCTCTCCACAATTTAGTTTTGTACTTATCATTGCGTCGGCAGAAAATTTGACAATGAAACATTCCATCCCTTCATCCAACTAATTTACATAAATTGTCAATAGTTATTGTCCCAATGCCAATCACTGTGACACACCTCTCACATCTTGCCAACCTGAAAAAAACCCACTTATGCCTACTCTCTGTTTCTTGTTAGGCAGCCAATCTTGTATGGATAACAATATGCAATGATCTATGAGTTTTTATTTTATTTAATAACAACTTCTAACGTTTTCCCTGGGACAGATATTAAGCTAATTGGCCTATAGTTTCCTGCTTCATTATCATTTTTATTTGCAAAAACATTTACATTTTTTCCAGTCTAAAGCAACTGTCCCTGAAAAAATTAAAAGCAATGCATCAACTGTCTCACTAGTCATTTAATTTAAGGAGCAGAAGTGGACATATCAGTGCAATGACAGGAATATAGTCAGCAATACCTTTGACTACATGTGGCGAAGCAGATTTGATGGGCTGAATGGCCTACTTCTATTCCTGCATGTTATGGTCACATGAGGTACCATAACGTGCAACGTTAAAGTCCATGGTGTGATGCAATTACTGGATAGTTCTTTTTGAAACAGCACACCTGTGATGCTCAAAATGACTTTCTTCTGTACTGTAAATTCCGTTTCTTTTTCTTATATTTTTCTCACACCTGTGTCAAGTACCTTGGGATGCTTTTCTCCATTAAAATACTAGATGAATTTGAATCAATTGTTTTTCTCTTTAAATTGCTGCCAACACACTAATAGAACTCTACACTTAGAAACTTTCAATGAATATGTTTATTTGCCACGAACACAGAGCTAGCTCGGTATTGCAGCACAACTCAGGCTCCATGCAGTCAATTATCGACTGAGTAAAATCATATCACAATGCAGCATGACTCATAACTGAGGCAGGGACATTCCCAAAGGGGTTTGGACAGATTTATTACCTGAGGTGATTTACACCTGTATTTACAACAAATTAAAATGAACATCGGTGACACTGATTTTCTGCTCCACACTTACACCAAACAAATTTGGGATTGCAGATAATTTTTGCAGATACCAGACTTAATCTGGGAAATACCTTTTCGACCTCTCCTGTGGTTTATTGAGGTTGGTCCATTGTTCTGCACCAGAATTGGTCACAATGTTTCTTTTCTCATTATTCAGGGCTGCTGTTGGACTATAGGCAGAAAGAGAAACTTCATCGTATTGAGTTAGTGTACCTAGTCAACAACAACATCTCATGATCTTTGAATACTGTACATCCAGTCCTTCCAAACCATCCATTATAGGCAAAGACAGTGAATAAGTTTCATTTTGAAAAAAGTCATAGATCAGATAGGGTTTCTGCTATTGGACATTTCCCCAGGCAGCATCTGAGAATTTAATGAGTTTAGTCGTTAGGCCTCTGTGTTCATGTTATGACTCTTTATAGAAGTGAATGTTGATAATGTTTAATCCCAATAATAGAAATGGTCAGGTAACACAGGGCTGGTAACTGGAGACAACATTGCCTATTATGTCAAATAGAAATGCTCAAAGAATGCAGGAGAATATCTGCATGAGATTATACAGTAAAATCCCCACTAACTGCCACACACAGTGGGATCCTCTTGATCAAGTATGAAAATTGACAGATAATCAAGGATAGCAAATGATGACCTTGTACAAATGGTCCAGGAACACCCACAGGAAAGAAAAGTGTTAAATACACATGATTAAATAACTTATTTGATATTTATTTTGTTAGGAAAACGGCCCTAGTCCCAGATGATCCCTGGATGTGGGTAAGTAAGGTGGATTGAGCAGGGAGGCTTTGGAAGCCTTGGAAAGGGGCGAGCAGGGAGAAAGGTTTTTTAGGTTACTACCCTCTGGCTTGGGGTGCGGGTTTTAACTTCCAAATGCACAAAGGGCACCCTCCTCTGACACCATTTTTTTTCCCCGAACACTTAAAAATTTGTAAAACAACATGGGCATTCATTCCCACCTGCTTGCCCACACCAAATATATTACAACATGGATAGGGTAATGTTAAGGTCAGTTGAGCAATTTACCCTTAATTATTTATCTACCTTTGGCAAGCTGGCTGCTAATGTTAGCACCCTCCCATCCTCAGTATTATAGCTCTGTTTGGGAATGTGGTGGCCTGACCACCTGCCATATTTTACATGTCATCCTGCCAAAAACATACAGGCTGGGTGCATGTAATATTCAACTCCATGGATTTTATTTTCCTCTAAGATAAGAGACAATCTATTTAGCTGCTTCAGCCTCTTAAAAACACAGTATATGGTTGCTATTACCAGCTCGTACTTCACCTAAACACTAACCTTGCAATGCCCTAATCTCTTCTGCTCTCTCTACCGTAGCCCTCACTAGATTTAGCTCCCATTTTCTTGTCAACTGCTCAACTATACCTCTTCAGCCTGCTGTTCATTACCCAATCCTTCTCTTCAAGAGTTATTTCCCATTTCAAAAACTATCATAAGCTTTACATTCCTTCAAAAATACCCTTCTCTTCAATTCCTGTTTCATCTCGAATCTCCTGTTCTTCTCTGTGATCCTAAATCCTGTTGTTGCAATCTCCCTCTGCCATGGCCAAAATCAGCAAGGAATTTTGTGCAACTGGAAAAATTGTGCATTTTCATATTTTGTTTGCCTCAAACACTGGTTTAAAACCCAGGAACCCAGTTCTTAACAGCACTGTGGGTGTACCCATAGCCCACAAATGCAGCAGTTCAAGAAGGTCACTCACAATCATTTACTTGAGGGAAATTAGGAATGTGACACTCGGTCAATGAATGAATTAAAAGTAAGCACTTTTCAGCTTTTGACGCAATAAACCACAAGGTGCTCCCAAAATATCTTTAGTCCAGTGCTTCTCAAACCCTTTCCTACACTAAACCCATTCAAGGCTTGCAAACTGTTGTGATCCTTCAGTGTGCAGTGGGAGTGCAGAGACCTATTATACAAAGGGGAAGGACAGTCAGCCATTGCTACGCAGAGCTTGAGACCCAAAATTTAAGCTCATGATCTCACTTTGGATCATGACCCCCACTTTGGTTTGCCTTACTCTAGTCCATAGTAATCTCTGTTAAGATAATTCCCTCTATATTTGTTCCAATCCAACTCCTGGTTTCTCTTCTTGTGCTGATCCAGTGTGGTCCAAGTCTCCAGCCTCAGGATCTCTCTACTTCTCAGCAAGGGAGCCAACCTCAATCCCACCGCTGTCCCTCTGTTGTACATCTTACATTTCCCTGCGTGACCATGGCTAATGCCCACAATAGAAACTCTGTGCTAAAGCTTCAGTAATCCTACTCTCTTGACGAATACCTACTCAAACTCATTGTTACACAACCATGGTTGCAGTTCAACTCTAAGCCACAAGTGAAAGGCATTTCTAGAGGCAACTTCCATTGAGGCATTCAAGAGGCCATTAAATGACTGTTTGAATAGAAATAATATGCAGGGTTACAAAGAAAAAGCAGGAGAATGGTACCAAGTCCTAATGCTATTTTGAAAACACAATGAGGCAAATGGTACCATAATACTGTTGTGATTCAGGACCAAACAGAATAAAATAATGAATTAACCCTTTAATTTCCCTTTCGACATACCACTTATGTCTAGAATATGGAAGATGGATTGTTTAATCCACCTGATGCTTGTTATAGCCTTTTCTCTGTTTCTTCCTGCGCTCTCCACTCTTCCAATGTGTTGCTCTTTTCTTTCTTCATGCCTACCCTCTCCCATATGCCAGGCATGTCCTACAGCCATCACTGTATAGTACTGTGGAAATTTTGCCCCAATCTTGCTCCATCCAATCCTCCAGTCAACAAAATTACCACTTTGTTACTCCTGTTAGTCCCCCAACTCTTTTCCCAACTCCTGGTCATTGCATGCCTATTCACACAATGGAGCTCTCCCCATTTTAAGAAGTGCTGCTTGTTTTACCGCACGACATGTGCTGTGTACACTTTGACAAGTATTCATCCCAACTTTTGCAGAACCATAAACATTAGAGGCGGCTCCGATTTCTAATACAAAGTCCATGTACCTTTGCTCACGTTTGCCTGGATTCGCCTCTTCACCGTGAAGCTCCTTGCTTATGCTCTGGTGCACAAGGTCGAGCAGTTTTTGAAGATCTGTTAGTTACAAGAATAATGGCAACATTCAGAGTAAGGTGTCAGATTGTGATCCTTCTTATAAAAAATGGCCAGAGGCTGAACAGCTTTGACCCAAATGGAACGAGTATGGAGGAGGGCTGGCAAGGAAATTCACACCAACAGTAGGAGTGGTGAAACTATTCCATTCCTGGGCCTTTCTCCTGAATGCAGGATGGGATCAGCAGGGGTACTTGACCACAAGCGGCACTTTAAATGCTACTTGAGGGCTATTGTCAGAAGGTGACTAGAATCGCACAGTTGGCCCCCAAGCTCCCCTCCTCTTAAGGTGTCAGGTGCCTGGAGGCAGCCTCCGTGCAGATCTTGAGGCGTCCCATTCTTCCTGCATCATATCAGCTGTAGCATGTTCAGTGGAAGGGTTTCCTCTCCCCAGTGGTGGGTCTGGCTGCTGAGTCTGTATTTTATATTGTAAATTTGGAGCGAGGAGCAGCCATCACTGCTGTGCTGGAGGGCCTCCCATTGGTTTTAACTGGATGGTGAACCCACCCTCTAGCCATAAATCAGACAATCTGGGGAAATCACTGCCATGTGAGAGGTTTTCCCCTGTACTGCGTGCTTCTGAATCCCGTTTCACCTAGAGATTGGATGCCGATGCCCGTGGAAAACAACGTGCCGCATGCCTTTCTAACCATGTCACTGGAGGAAGAAATGCATCCTATTTCTCCCTCTGTAAATGCTGATGACTACCAAATACTCACAACTGCAGGAACAGTTTCCCTTTGCTTACCTGTTGCTCACTGTAAAGGAGAAGTAAGTGTTTACTGCCTTTGAAAAGTTAAACCTTCATGTTGCACAGGACAGCACGGTAATGAAGTGACATGACAAATGTTGCTGCCACTTTGTGCATTCGGATCCCAAAAATTTTGGGCATCTTTAAGATACCAGTGGAAAACTTGTATGTGGCTAGGAACTAATTGGAGAAATTAAGTCATTCCACGAGTGGTAAATACCTTCAACATTTCTGTGAAACAAACTGAGGGCCTAAAACCAGTCCAAATTCCTTTAGGTCTACAGGTGTGAGAAAACTATTAAATATCTTGTAAATATTATCTGCTGTAAGTTAATGTCATAAACACTGCTCTCTCTAACTGAACAGGTTTGTACCATTTTGATTGTATTGTACCTTTACAATTTTTATGAATGAAGGACATTTTTGAAAGAAAAGCTTGAAACTATACTTCCCACTCTTGCCACAGATCAATACTCACAGTACGAAATTTACAGATGCACGAAGCATCAGCATCTAGCCACAACATACTAAAACAGCAGCCTTAATTGGTGTGCTGGGTTTTAAACAGATTTTGTAAATAATTGTGCTGGTGTTTACTTTTCAGTTTAGGATTCAAGTCCATTGCAGAAGCTGATTCTAGATTGGGCAGCATTCCGTTCTTTGTTGTGTTTCTGCAGTTTCACATGAGGTATTACTATGAGACAAAATGATGTTAATTACCTACTGTCCTACTGCACCTTTTAATGGTACTTTTGAGCTTCCCAAGACCTTCACTTATTCTTCTAGCTTACTCAAAGCATGGTGCAGTACAGTGTGCCTTATCTAATTAGATCAATTCAAATAGAAACCCATGATCACAGAAGCATTTGAAAGAAAGCATGGCTGTTTGGTCAGTTTTTGTACGTGCCAACCTGCTAAAAGAGCTAGCTGAGTGCTCCCATTCTCCTGTGCACAATCATAGCTGTTTTACATTTTCCTTCTTTAAATATCTGTCCACTTTCCTTTTAAAAGTTATTACGAGTTTTGCCTCCATCATTTTTTGAACACTGTATTCAATATTCCAGCACTTCAACACAAAAGAACAGTCTCAGAAATCTTCAGCAGGCATTTCCCATGGGCTCCAGACCCCAATGTTGAAACAGAAAGGATCTTGAGATCACATTTATTAGGCAAGGTGATTGGCATAGTGAAATTTCTGGAGACAGCCTTCTCCTCATTGCCTCTGAGCTCACCACCCAATAAAGGAAGGTGGACAAGTCCTTGATGCTGCTGGCCAATCACAGGAAATGTGCCCGCACACACGCGTACTCTTCCTTGTCCATATTAACCAATTGGAATCTTTGAGTCTCAAGCAACCTCTTGTTTCAATTTCATCAGAAATTTTGCAGGAATTATTTACGCAACTTCCTCAAAAAATTTACATTGGGTGATCACCAATTGTATTCTTGTGTTGTTTTCCTTAACACAGAATTGCCACTCTCATACTGGGTTGCTAAAAGTGAAATAGGTTCAAGTAGATCTCTACCAGGTTTAATTAACATACAAACTAATAACTCACAATTACTGAACAACATATGCACACATTCTTAGTTTAGCATGGTGCTGCTTTGACACAAGGCTGCTGGTCATGTGGTGTCATCCTGGTCCATTGCTTATTAGGATATTCAGTTCTTGAAACAGCACCTCGATATGTAATTATGATTTCACTGTTATGAGGCAGTGCTGCTTCATGCTAAGGGATCAGTTTTGTCATTTCTTACAGTGTAGGGTGCATATAGCTAAATAGGTGGACACACAACACACATGATAGTATAATTTTACAGTTGCATTCTATGGATGACATTTATCATCAAAAGCAGGTTTCCAGTTGGTATTTTGGATCTATGTCTGTGCATACCTGATTCTGAATTTATTGCAGAAATTTTGTTTCCAGCCAAGTTTCAAATGGTATTCAATGAAATCTAGAATGCACGATTTGTACCAGATACCCATTCCAAATTATTCCCAAACAGTGTTTTATTTTAAGAAAAAGTCATCTGATTTATCATCAGAAACAAATCTGTAAATAAAATCTCAGAAAGCAGCATTAATTTTCTGTTGTAAGTTTGTCAAAATCAAAGATTTCAGTGCTGGCAGTGAACCATTTTCATACCGTTATTGTTTTGTAACATTCTCAGTGTGCAAGGACCAATATTCAGACTAAAGATCCCTCAACAACACCCAATTAACCTGTAATCCCAGAACACCCTTACTGCACCAGTAAGAAATTGCCAATTGCAACAACAGGAGCAGACAGATCCTGCTGCATGGTAGACAGCTTTGTATTGGATTAGTTCCTGCCGAGGAGCTCCAAATGGGTTTCATGCAGGATGTGTCAAGGCAGAGATGAGTTTTCCAGCTCATCAGTTTGGCCTGGATGGAAATCCACATTCCAGAATGAAAGGCAAGTGCACAAACTGATTGCAGCTATTGAAGAAGTTAGTGACTCATTACCAAGGGCAACTAGGAATAGGCAACTATGCAGGAAGAACATATTAACAGTAAACTATAAATTTGCGCAGGGATGTACAACAGCTGCCATTTTATCATTACTGACAGCTTATTGAGCAATGATTTGTAATGGAGTCTAGGATCAGTTCATGCATTATAAAATTTCGTTACCAGCATATAAATATTCCAAATGAAACAATAGTTGTGTGAAATTACTTATCTCCAGTCTTTGAGCTGCACCCCCTTCCCTCCCTTGCAGCAATTTTAAGAACAGACCCACATCACTATAAATAATTCCAGAGATGTTATTCTATGGGTCTTGAACCCAGATCTCCTGGTTTAGAAACAAAAACAAAGTTGCTGGAAAAGCTCAGCAGGTCTGGCAGCATCTATGAAGAAAAAAACAGAGTTAATGTTTTGGGTCCGGTGACCCTTCCTCAGAACAGGGTTTAGAGGTCTCCTGGTTTAGAGCTAGGGCTACTATCACATCACAAGAAATCTCCCACGTGGCTACAGATATTTTATATCAACCTGTTCAGAGACATTATTACCCATCACTGGAGCAGGTGGGTCTTGAACCCAGGACTTCTGGTTTTGAGATAAGGACACTGTGCCACAAAAGGGGTTTTCCATGCGGCTGTAAGGTAACGAAGTGTAAGCAGCAGTGATCTGGGCACTTCTTGATTCCAATATTAGAACCAGCTGGACCAGTTTTAAACCGATGGTTCTAGTTTGACGGAGTCAGTGCACTCGCTTCAAACTTCCGCTCGCAGTCTGCAACACCAGTGATCTCTTCAAGACCTGGCCATCAAGTCACAGAGGACCAGGAGTGAGGGGATGGCTGTGTGATTTTCAAACTGCTGCACCAGAGGTAGGAAATGCAAGCTCCTCTGGCCCAACAACATTCTCCCTCCGCAGAACTCTCTAAGACCCTGATATTGGCTGTTGCCAGAGCATGGAATGTTGCATAGAGGCCATTTGACCCATCAAATCTGTGCTTTTTCTTCTGAAAGCTCAATCCAATTATTCACATGTCACTACTCTTTTCTTATTACTCCACACAATTGTTCTCCTTCAAGTATTTACCCGATATCCATTTCAAAAACTAAGATTGAAACTGTAACCAATCAGCCTGTAATCTCCTCTTTATCCTTACCAAAGGTTGCATCTTCTTTCTAAGGTGAGGTGCCTAAAGTTAGATACAGTAGTCCAGAGGGGGTAATCCAGTGTTTTATAAAACTTTATCCTGACTTTAATACTTGGTTGGCCAGATTTCTGCAACTGAGGTGGATTGGCAGAACCAGGAAGTTTTTCGACTTGCTACATCTGCCTCAGTAATAAAAGCACTGCTTCATGTACTCTGAAGAGGCAGAGGGTGGAGTACAGTTATTTTAATTGATTCCAGAGACAGATCATGAGGGTAGGCATATGACAAGGAGTTCTGAGGAAGGGTCACTGGACCCGAAACGTTAACTCTGATTTTTT